TATTCCTACTTCAAAGTAGGAATAAGAGCCTCCGGAAAAGGGTGCTTTTTCCGGAGGATCGGGGCCAGTCTAGACGCTCTTTTCCGGCTTTTTTAAAAGCCGGAAAAAAGCGGCGGACATTTTTATTTAAATGCCGCGGGGGATATTTAAATCCCCCGCGGATTTCCCTACTACGATAGGTGAAATTAACATGCCCCTTCCGGAAAAGGGGCCAGTGTAGACGAGCCCTGTAAGAAGAGAATTGGGGCTGTGTGTAGGAATTAAAAATGAAAGTTAGTGAAACAACCACAAGAACAGAGCTAATAGCAGCTCAAGCAAAAAAAAAAGTCTGTCTCCCATGAGAGTTAAGTTGTGATCATCTGGATTGTTTAGTCACTTTTCTTGAAATGAAGGCTGGAGCTAACAGGCGAACATAGTCTGCTCTCAACATGAAAGAAAGGGATCAGTAAAAATCATACCATGTGCTGGGTATGGAGGAATTGAGGGCTTGTCTGTGGATGGTTGTTTTCTCCCAGAATTCATAATTTAATCTTAATACACATTTTAGAAATGTGCATCTGTCTGTCTGTCTGTCCGTGAGTTCGTTTGTTCAAAAACTCCTAAACAGTACGAGCAGCTCCCTCTTCTCATAACTTACAGCAAGATAAGGATCTGGTTGTGCCAGAACAATGGGATGTGCCTGGAATTTGATTGTTTCTTCTACAATAAAAAAGGAGGGCTCTCATAGGAGGGAGTTGTACTGTAGAAACTTCCCTCAAGAACTATAGACAGAGATGGGGTATGTCAGTATTTATTACTTGAAGATTTCTGTATAGCTCGAAAGCTTGCCTCTCACCAACAGAGGTTGGTCCAGTAACAGAAATTACTTAACCCACCTTGTCTTTCTGTTATTTATCATATCAAGGCTTCTACAAGCAGCAAAGTGCAACCATTTCATGGATGACCTGATTTTGAAAAATTGTCGCATCATGTCTAATTAAACAAAAGAAATAAGATAAATAAGGACAGGTCTGCGCTGGTGATAGGTTGATTCAAGCTATGCAATAGTGTAACTTGAATTGATGTATCTTACATCTAATTATTCCCAGGGTCCACTCTGGGGGGGTCAACAGAAAACACTCTCCTATTGACTCCCCTTATTCCTCTCATTCTGTAGGTGTAACAGAGTTGACAGGAGTGAGATTAGCAGATAGTTTAATGGGTCTTTGCTAGACTTGCTAAGTCAACCAGTAGTGGATCAACTGCAGCAGTGTCAATCCCATAGTGGAAACAAGCCATAAAAATAAGCCTACATCAAGAGCATGGTTTATTCAATACCATGGTTAATTTCTGAAATAGACAAGACTGGGTAGGGGTACATAGCTATCTGAGTGCCTGTTTTCGGGCCACTAAGCCAATTATTTCAATGTCTCTGACTTGACTTCCCCCCTTGTTCAGTTTTCAGCAGACATTATTCTCCTCTCTGTCAGGTTTAAACCAGCTATCCACAGATCTTCTCTACTCAGGTACAATGCATTTCATTAGGCATTGTATAAACAATATCACATTTATCATATGAAATAATGATCTAAGCCTGGGCAAAAAATGAATAAGCCAATTATTTCAATGTCTCTGACTTGACTTCCCCCCTTGTTCAGTTTTCAGCAGACATTATTCTCCTCTCTGTCAGGTTTAAACCAGCTATCCACAGATCTTCTCTACTCAGGTACAATGCATTTCATTAGGCATTGTATAAACAATATCACATTTATCATATGAAATAATGATCTAAGCCTGGGCAAAAAATGAATCTCCTTAATATTTCAGATACATTTTTAAAGCTTAGAAAAAAGAAATGGTGTGCTTTAACTTAAATAATTCCACTGCTCAAGAGCTTAATTGTCCACAACAGCCCTTTAACTCAAGAAGCCTAAAATTCCCCAACTTCCTCCAAATTTTGTTCATGCAGTTCAAAGCTTCTCCAGAGATGCCTGAAGAAGTGGGCTGTGCCCATGAAAGCTCATGATACCATTTACGTGTTTTGTTAGTCTTTAAGGTGCTGCTAAACTATTTGCTGTTTAAGTTTTTCCAGTTACAGACTAATTTGGCTATCCCTCTGAATCTCTAGAGACAGTTTGCAGTCCAGCTTTTGATGTTCATATTAGGGGGAGCTCGGAGGAGATCTCATATTTCTATTCTTGCATGGCCTCCTGGGGATACAGTTGTGCCCTGAGGGCAGAAGCACTAAGGACTAAGTGTACCCTAATGCCATGCTTCAGATTTGGTGCAAACCTGACCTGAAAGCGAGCATCACTGTCCTACTGTATAAGTAACCTCATTTCCTGCACCTTGTTGGGCTTCCTTTGAATATTTCCCACCCACATATTGACCCAACCCAGCCTTGACTTGCTTGTGAGATCACATCCTGATTTGTGTGACTAAGGATATAAAAGAAGAGAAACAGAACATAGCTGATTCTAATGCTAACTGTATTTAATTGACAGATACTGTAACAGCCTAGGTTTTTCTACGCACCAGGCATAAAAAGAAAGCTAAGACAAAACATCTGGAAAATGCAGTATGACAAGAAGAATGATACATCTGGTTGTATCCAGTTGGTGGGCACGTTGTCAGATCAGTTCCAAGCAGTGAAGAATTTATTACTTGAATTCAGCTTCACCACAGAAGCCAATGTTAATAACCCACAGGATGCTAGCATCAATACAACTTCCAGAATAGAAGAAGTTTGCTCCTTTTGGTCCTTAATAAAAAAAAAAGTTTGTCAGGTGATGCCTGATGCAGATACTAGGAGCTCAGTCCATTCACTACAGTACAAGACATAGAACCCTGCACCTTGTCTTGCCACTGACACCTGCGAAAATGATTATAAAGTGGGTGTAAAATGCTACCCACTCAGTGGTAACATTTTATGACCATTTTGCACAAATATAAATAACTGCCAAAAGTGCAAGGCAATGGAGGTCAGACTCAGAGAACGCCCACTGTTCTACAGGATGAATTCATGAATAACAGTGAGTTCCCATAGCAAGGAAAAAACTCCTTTCCTGGAGAACAAAGAACATTGTAACATGAGAGAGTAGTACAAGACATAGCATCTATCAGACAGTGGATGATTTATCTTTGCATGGTTTGTGACCTCATGGTAACAGTTCAACAATATTTTTATACAAGCAGGGGTGAAAACAGGCAGGTGCGCCCTGGTGTGCAGCTCTAGCAAGAGCTGGCAGAACTCGGGTAAAAGCCAGCAGGGAGCGGTTTAAAGAGCTGACAGGGATGTGGGTCATAATAGGACAGTTCCTGTAAGAAATGTTAAGTTACTTTCACCCCCTGTATACAAGTACATATTTCTAATGCTTTAGTCAAGGAATCTTTTTAAATATAAAAGCTTTTGAAGTGTACAAATGAAAGCATAAAAATATCAACAGAAACAATTGGATTTTGCTTAAAAAATGACCAAAATTTTGTACTGGTTAGTATTCTACAAGAAAACTTAGCTAATTAATCCTCTCAGCAAGATGTGTGGTAGCTAAGTAATAGCTAAGTAATATTTCCATGAGGAGCCTGTAAGCTACTAAGGAATATGGTATGATCCTTCAAAGTACTTAAGCCTGTTCAGGCTCACAAGCCATCCCACTGTAGGACTGAATCCTCTGCAGTTCTTCCATGGCGACACAGCAAGTGAGAAGCCAAAAGCACCAAATCCCAGCACCAAGTTAACTCCACTAATAACACTGTCCCTCTTCCTTAGCTGAGGGTATGTCTACACTACACGGCTTTGAGCCATACTGCTTTGTCGACACAAGCCGTCAGGTCAGGCAGCATAAACACTATCAGCACTTTGATAGAAATGTAGCCGTGTTAGTCTGGGGTAGCTGATGCAAAATGCAGGACAATGTAGCACTTTAACAAGATGGTTTATTAGATGATGAGCTTTCGTGGGCCAGACCCACTTCCTCAGATCAGATCTGAGGAAGTGGGTCTGACCCACGAAAGCTCATCATCTAATAAACCATCTTGTTAGTCTTTAAAGTGCTACATTGTCCTGCATTTTGTATCAGCACTTTTGCAGACAAAAAACCTCTACCCCCTATGAGCGGCATTTCCATTGTCAGCAGCAGAACACTCCTGCAGACAAAGCCCTGTTTACACTAGTACTTTCTGCTGCAAAGCTTTTGTTCTGAGGTGGGGGAGCAGGGGAGGGAGATTTTAAGCACCTGTGAATGACAAAAGCTTTGTCGTTCACTTGCCAGACATAGATCCAAGGTAGCAATTTCTGTACCAGGCTTTGCACAACCCCACGTTTGGGAGTGATGAAATCTGACCGACTGACCAACACAAAATTTGATATCCACAGTCTGATATCTTTCTGACGCACCCCACCTCAGGACAGCAGCATGCTTTCCATGCAGAAAATCAGCTCTACATGCTACATGAATAGTCATTTTAACTTAAACTCACTCTGAACTTCATGAGCCACGTAGGTAGGAAGTCCTTTGCACAAAGCTTCGATGTTCTTCCCGTAAGGGGTCAGGTCAGGGACTCTGGTCTTTGAGACAGCGTATCTCAGTTCCTTCGGAGGAGGCCCTTGAGCTACAGTCTTCTAAACATCCAGAAAGAAAACTCAGAACAATGCCATTCAATACACCTGATGACTGGAATCATGTATTACAATTTGTGTGCCTGCAGCTGACATTTCTGACACAGCACACAGTGCATGTCAGCGTGAATAGGGCCCAACGGATCAGGGCAAGCAGGGAATAAGCTTCTCAGTGCAGATCTCACCCCAGAGCATAAGGTGGGAGTGAGAACTAAAGGTGCAACTGCACATGAAGAGAAGAGCAATGGAAATGGTATAAAACTGACTGGCGAAAAGAGGAATACAAGCTGTATTTTACCTCTCTCTAAAATATTCCCTTAATCCTATGGTAAATCCTATACCATAGGGCTGTGTCTACATTGGCAAGATTTTGCGCAAAAGCAGCTACTTTTGCTCAAAAACTTGCTGCCTGTCTACACTGGCCACGAGTTCTTGCGCAAGAACACTAACGTTCTAACGAAAGAAATCAGTGCTTCTTGTGCAAGAACTATGATGCTCCCACTCAGGAATAAGCCCTCTTGTGCAACTGTTCTTGTGCAAGAGGCCAGTGTAGACAGGCAACATGAATTTCTTGCACAAGAAAGCCCAATGGCTAAAATGGCCATAGGAGCTTTCTTGCGCAAGAGAACATCTACACTGACACGGATGCTTTTGTGCAAAATCACATGCCAGTGTAGACGCTCTCTTGTGCAAATACTTTAATACAAAAACTCTTGCATTAAAAGTATTTGCACAAAATCTTGCCAATGTAGATGTAGCCTAGGTGTAGAAAGAATTGTAGACAGGAAAAGTGAGGGTTGGCTAATATGTTAATTTACTTTCTCATAATCAGAACAAATGAGAAGGCAGGAAGATGTATATTAACCACATTTGCTGAAATGTTTACAGACTGTTCTTGAGAATGCTAATGAATGTATTGATAGCATGGCATACCGTTTGCTTGAATTCAGTGAAAACTGGAAACCTGATATTTCATCATTTGTTTTCATTATGAATTGGAATAAAAGTTGAAAGTTGAAATTCTGATTTTTTTCATGGAACTTATAATTCCAAAATTCTTCAACCAAGTTGGTTTGTTTCCATTTGAAGAACAGATCCAAGCTGCTGTCTTTTGAGCCAAGTTCACCAGTCAGCTGTTCTTTCCTGTTCTGGCTTATTGACTCATGGGAGATGTAGATCAGGTTGCTGATGTCCCTAGTCTCTTTGGTGGGCAGTTCCCTTACTTGAGTACATGTCCCATGATGCACTCACAATGATGTAAATCCCATGATCCATGATGCAAGAGCATTTTTCTTCTGCGTAACATTATGTGAGACCTAGTCCAACAAGGGGGCCAACCTCATAGAAGAAAGTTCAACTCTTACAAAATGAAGCATTTTAGGTCAAACGGACTCCAGACAAAATATTTAGTTTAGGTTTTCTCAATAAAAAATAAGAAAAAAATCATTAAAACAAAATTCTCCCCTAGAAAATTTCAAATTTGCAACAACTGCATTTTTCATCAGAAAATCATTGTGTTGAAAAATCCCCATATAACTCTACTTTTCAACAGCACTGAAGCTATGATGGGGTATCTTATAAATAGGAATTTTAAAAACACCTCAAATCTTTCACTAGCTTGGTGCGATCTGATCTTCTTCAGGGTGAGAAAATAAGCTGTTCAGTAATGAGGCCCCAGAGTTACATAGTATTTAGCAGGGAGGACTGAGAATTATCCCTCCAATTTTATGGTGAAATTGTAACAACGGGCTGAGCTCTTTTGAAAAAAAAAAAATCTAGCCCCAGATGTGTGTTCTGAACTACTGAAAATGTGTCTGAGTTCCTTTGAAAAATTGATCCCAAGGGGTTAAAATTAAAGCCTTAGAGAAAACCACAATTTCTTTCACAGCTGGATCATTTGCGCACACACACACACACACACACACACACACACACACACACACACCCACCCCTATCCCTCTCTAATTGGAGCTGGACAGAAAATGGATTTCATGTGATGTGAAACATTCTGAATTTTTTATTTTTTTCTTCATCCTTGAATGGGGATGAAAAGCCAATTTATTGAAATTTTTTATGAAATGAAATTCCAAATAAAAAGTTCTTTCATGTCAATATACTCAGTATATTTTGAGATTTTATATATATATATATATATATATATATATTAAATCAGTAGGATAAAAATGCATATGAATTTAAAAGCAAAACCTTAAAAAAAAAAAAAAAAAAAAACACCTTTTGTTCCACTATTATCAGAACAGGAGTATGCTAAATTTTTTCCAGGGTTTTTTTTCCTGAATGAAATTTTGTTAAAAACAATATAATTATGCAAAAAATAAAAGTTTCATCTAAACTAGAATTTCTGACAAAACTGTTTTGATTAACGTTTTCCTACTACCTATATGAGGTTTAGCTTTAAACTACTACTAGGTTTGGTGTACATGGGAACACTCAGGAATATTAAGGAGAATTCTTTAAAGGTGTGATGTGAATGTCTATAAACTAAAGTGTGTCATGGATGATTTTTCATGCCTATGTGGATGATTTTAGAAAATTACCCAAGTTTGTTAAGGATTAAGCTAAAGTCAGAATAAGACTTGTGAGGATGTAGACATTTGTCTACAGCAGTGGCTTCCAACCTTTTTGAGCGTACAGACCTCTTTTCAATCTATTACAATTTCATGGACACCCCCACTTTCCTGTGGGAGAAAAGAAAGAAAAGAGAAAAGAGAAAAAAGAAAAAAGGAGAAAAAAGAGAAGAGAGAAAAAGAAAAGAGGGAAAAGAGAGCGAGAAAAAGAGAGAGAACAAAAATAGAAAAAGAAAGGATTCCGTCTGCTGTGGTGGGACAAATCCTTATTTTTAAATTTTCCCTGAACCCCCTGGAGTACCATTGAGGATCACTAGGGGTCGGCAGACCACAGGTTGGGAACCATTGTTCTATAGTTACTAGCCCTCCCCCGCCCACTGTCAATCTAATCTGTGAGACACTAGCTACTCAAACAGTGTAGCTGAAGTTGACACAATTATGACGGCATCTTCTGTATGGTAAAGTTGGCAAGGGAGGCTCTCTCCTTGATGCCGATTATGTGGATTACTGGTTTTGATGGGAGAATATGTCGATCCCCAGCATATTGGAGATAAGCTTAGAAAAAAGCAACCTCACTCCTACCCCCACTTCTACCACTCCTTTCCATCTTACCTTCCTTTCTTCAAGCAGTTTGGGAATTTCTACAATGTCAGGCATGACATTTTTGTTCATTTTAGCAATGATGCAAGATTTCTTGGAAAATACCCTGGTTGCCATAAAGCCCTGTGAAATAAAATTACAACGAGCTAGATTTTGTTTGAGCATCTCCACAAAAGATGAGATTCAAATCAGATTTGCTTCATTTTTCAAAGTAAATAATGTTTACTACAGATTCCTCCCTCCCACATTTAGGCAAATTTGCATAAATTATCAATTATTAATCATTTGCATGCATTAATTTATGACTAATCATTTAGTATTACTCAGGCCAGTGACTCCATTACATTTCCTAAAAATGCATGTTTGCTACTTACAGTTTTGTAGTCCAAAACAGAGTTCCATGAGTTCCAGCCATTGTTTGAGTCAATGTTGGCCACGTGCTTATCATTGTTGATGCTCACAGTCTGGTGTGAACTTCCACCAATGTTACCTTGATTGTTTTCACTCACATTCTGGATTTTTAAGAGTGGCAAACATTTAGGTTTTTCTGGTTTCTCACCACCAAGTGTGTCATAACCCCAAGTGCTATGGAAAATGGCTGCTCTTAACATTATATTACAGAGCTGCAATGGAGTATTTCTTCCCTTCTCTCTGCCCCGCCCCCAAAAGCTAATAAAGCTGTCATGCCAAACCCTGAAATCTCTTATTCTGTCTTATACAGCCATCCTTCTGCAAAGTGCCTAATGATATAAATCTAGAGGCTGAGTTTTGACTGAGAGAGAACTCAATAAGAGCTTGTCCAACTGGCTTCAGTTAAAGTATAGACAGACTACTCAAGCACAGATCAACCCTAACAGAGTTTGCCTTCCTGCATGGAAGTAAGAGGTCATCTTATCTGTACATGAAAGACTGACTCTGACATCTCCAGATCCCACTGATGGTGATTAAAAGCGAGATAATTCAATAATTAATAGAACCTACAAACCCCAGTCATGAATCAGAACAATCATGCTGGAAAGCCAGTTTGGAGATGGGTTTGTTGTTTTCAATTACATTTCTAGCATAATTAATTAAGTTTTGTAATTGACAAAAAGCTATTGTATGGTTACCACTGTGTTATCTACAGTTGTCATCATTCTAATCTATTGTAGTTATGCAGGCAGAAACATACCTAAATATTGCTGAGCTTTGTGAACAAATTTTCAGCATTATTAGTATACTAATTATCTGATCTTTTTACAACAGCCTGGCTTATAAAAAGGTCATAAATTGGGTGTAAATTAAATATAATTCCTTTGCAAGGACTATTTACACTACTAGAAAAGTATAATGGGAACTCAGGGTAAATGAGAATCAGGTTCATTATATTTACAATGGTATCACATTACAATTATATCCACCTAATGGAAAAATATTCACTTTCCCACTAGGAACTCCCCAATAATCACAATATTTTGACAATGGATAATGGCAAAACAATATTACACAATGTTTTCATTTCATGCGTGATCTGACATGCAGTAAAATTACTTAGCAAAAGCTTCCTTTCAGTAGGTTAGGGTAATAATTATTTTCCTTAGAAGACAAGCCCAGTCTTGTGATACTTCAGTTTTATGTACTAAGGACATTTTAGATTTTTTTCCCAGAGCTCTCTCCCAGAAGTGTGAAAATTAATGAAAAATAAAGTAAACAAATTGAAAACAGGACAATTATATAACATGCTTCATCATTATACTCACATCAGTAGCAAGAGATTGACTTAGGCAGACTCCAAAAAGAACGACAATCACAATCTGAAATAAACATTGAAGGCATATCACTATAAAGGCCCATTTGACTAAAAATATGGTAAGAAGAATTTTGACTCACACCTTTCCTCTAAAGTAAATGATCTGGACTGAATTTGTTCCCACACTGGCTGCACACAACTTCAGTTACTGCTGGACTGACACTAGCATGAAATCAGCTGCAGCTCTTTGCTTTAATTTGTAACATAACAGCTGTTTATGATTATTTAAAGGGGCAGATCTTTCAGTCCTTAGGGTTACCACAGAAGCTTTGGAAAGCCTTGTGCTTGAGTAAGGAGAGCAGAATTAAGCTCACACTATTTAAAAGTTATAGAAAGTGGATTTGATCCCAGTTTTCTGATGGTGTAACTCCATTGACATCCATCACAATAGACCATGTTCAATTCCCTATAATTTCATCTAAATCTTATTCAGCTCTGTTCAGCTTAATGTGCTATCATACACTGCATTTCCTGATGGAGTGAAATCACTAATCACCTCCCTCCAGAGCCCTTCTACCTATGCTGCTCCCATTGAAATGTCTGATATTTCTGTGTGTGTAGAAGCAACTGGTTTGGAATCAACTAGAGTATTTCTGCTATATTATTTTGTAGGAAGCAAATAGTAAATATACTCACAGAGAGCTTCATTTTGACAAGAGAGCTGGTGAAAGAATTGCTGGGAAAAGTGACACAAACCTTCCACTTTATATACACTGGTTCCCCAAATTAGGTGTGGAAAGGTTAGATTCTGAAATAAACTTATCATGCTAGAATGTACCCATTAATATATGATATTGCACATTATCTCCTGGTACAATGACTACACAAACAAAGAGATTTGAAACTGACCTGATAAAGTCAATCACCTGTAGCAGATAAGGGTTGATTTGTACTGGTAAATTCAATACACGTTATGATAACTTTCTGTCATGTAGACTTTAGATATACTTAATCAAGATCAGGCATTCAATCCCTAAAGCCAAACAAGATTCCTAGTGCAAAATAGTGCCTGCACGCCCAGCTAACATTTTTCTCTATATAATTCACTATTGATAAAATGTGTTATCTGTTTGTGCCAGGGACAGAGCTGCCTTAAGGCTCTGTGTCAGCTCCTCTGGCACTGTGAAAGGAAATCTCCATCTGTCCAGGATCTGCACTGAGGGGAAAGGCACATTCAAGGCATGTGGATGCAGGAACAGATGGACAATCCTGAGGAGACCCCATCCTCCTCCTTTCAGCTTGTGGAACATAGACAAAAAATAATATGTCTGCAGACTGTGTTTTCTTTCCCTTGGCCCCCAAGGCCAGGATCCTGGGGTGAAATGTAGCTTGGGAGTATCCCCAGTTACTACTGCACAAGAACTAGCAGACCAGCTGAGGGTCAGAGCCATGGCAAATCCACTAGATTTAGCTCCCGTCCTCCCAGCCCAGTTCCAGTCTCCAGATCCTCTGTCTGCAAAACATTAATTTTAACATTTACTGGTTCCCGTGAAAAGGGCATCAAGAAACGGAAGGAAGCAATGGGAAGCAGCTGACCCTTGTGGTGCAGAGACTAATACGACTTCAATAGCCATAATTATTTCATCTGCCACATACAACATGTACCTCTTAGAAATGGTTGCTCATTATGGGTCTGTCTACACTACAGCACTAATTCGAACTAGCTTAATTCAAATTAGTTCATTCGAACTAAGCTAATTCGAACTAGCGCATCTAGACCTAAAAACTAGTTCGAATTAGCGTTTTGCTAATTCGAACTAGCATGTCCACATTGAGTGGACCCTGAACCGAGGTTAAGGATGGCCGGAAGCAGTGCCGGCAGGGCATCAGATTAGTACTTAGAGCATGGAGCTGCTGCCTCAGGCTAGCCGAGGACTGTGCTTAAAGGGACCCGACCCCCACCCCGGACAGACAGTTCTCAGGGGTTCCCCGCT